CAGTGAATTCACGTTCTCGTCGAGCTGCCTCAGGTCGACAGTAGAACAAGATTTTGTTTTTGGTTCTTACTTTGTCTTGTTCTCATTTTTTTTTTTTTTTCTCTTTTTTAAGCCAACAGCACGTGGCGTTCTCAAACGGTCACCCATCCAAGTTTGCACCACGCCCGATGCTGCTTAACTTCGGTGATCGTACGGGAACCGGTGTGACCAGCACGCTATGGCCGTTGGCTTTTATTATTATTATTATTATTATTATTATTATTATCAGTTAATAATTTTTCGTTGTTTAAAACGTTGATAAAAAATAATAAGTCGTTGGAAAAAAAAAAAGAAAAAGTCGAATAGGAAAACTTTTTAATGATTTAAAAAAAAAAAAAAAGAAAAATACGTGGAAATTTATTTTTAGAAAAACCGCTTGTCTGTTACAAAAAAAAAAAAACAAAAAAAAGGAAAACATTGTACGTGTAAAATTTTAATGAAATTTTCCAAAAGGGTAAAATAAAAAAAAAAAAAAAAAAAAAAAAAAAGGTAAAAGTTTCATATAATCGGACATTAACCGGAAAACGTTTTTTTTTTTAAAAAAAAAAATTTTTTGTATTATTTCCGGGAACGTAAAAAAAAAAAAAAAAAAAAAAAAAAAGTCCCGTAATTGCCGTATGCGTAAACTACTGTTATTACGTAAAATTAAGAAAAAAAATTTGGTTGTTGTTGTTGTTGAAAGTTTGATTCGTTGTGTTTGTTGTTGTTGTTGAAAGTTTGATTCGTTGTGTTTGTTGTTGTTGTCGTCGTATGATTAAAAACTTCTTTTAATTCGATTTAAATAAATAATTTTAATCATGTTCGGTTTTAAATAACAATAAATGTTTACAACAACAATATAAAAATTTTTATTTAATTAAAGCAGACGACGTTCGTTTAACAAAAAAAAAAAAAATTGTGATGTAAACACGATGTAAAAATTTTTGCGGTCGAATTTATAAAATTAAATTTTTCGAAAAGAAAACAAGAGAAAATCCGGACGCGATTTTTCTTTTCTTTTTTCTTTTTTTTTTTTTTGTTAAGCGCGTGTCATGTAT